GTAAAAAACGAAACTAACGTTAGTGTTTTGGGTCCGTAACGACCATCCTTAGTACGGCGTCGAAGACCGATACCCCTCCCCCCCTACCCCCCCCCCCCCTCCTAAAAGAATGCACATTTTTAAATATTTGAGATGTTTGGCTAAAAAACAGAGGCGCTTTTGAACATAAACAGAAATTTAATTTTTTCAAAACAAAAATATCCCTATCACAAGTTAATATTTAATAAACTATCATTGTTAATTAGTCTCATTTATCTTTAGTTATAAATAATAAACTTTTTCTTATTTTCCTCTTTGGTTTCGATCGTCTCTTTTCTTCTCCTTTTTTCTTTTTTAAAAACTTTAAATTTTTTTATTTTTCTTCTCGGCGAGAATTCTTTCGAATTTCTCGGAGCTCGCATTTTGGTTGGGCAATTTCAACCAGAGATTATTGTTCATCTCATAGCAACACATGAGCTTCTACGAAGGATAAATTTGAAAATGTCAAGTGTTTAGATGACGCTGTGAGTCTTTTCCGTCGAATGGTCAGAACACAGCCTCTTCCTTCTGTTTTCGACTTCTCCAAATTATTGAAGACTATGGTAAATATGAAGCATCACTCTTCTGTTGTTTCCCTTTTTCGAGAAATGCGGAAATTGGGCGTCCCAATTAATGATTACATCTTGAATATAGCGATTAACAATTATTGCCTAATGTATCATTCTGACTGCGGATTTTCAGTGTTAGCCATTTACTTGAAGACTGGCATTCCATTTGACATTATCACCTTTAATACATTATTGAGTGGAATTTTTGCTGAAAATAAGATCAAAGATGCAGTTAACTTGTTCAAAAAGTTGATGAGGAAGAATATTTGTGAGCTTGATGAAGTCACGTATTTGATAGTCATGAATGGGCTTAGCAAAAGGGGCCATACTAAAAAAACTTTCGATTTGCTAAGGGTAATGGAAGAAGGAAGCATCAAGCCTGACACAAGCTCTTTGCAAGGATAGAATGATAGATGATGCAATTAGCCTTTCAAAGAGATGAAAAAAAAAGGTATTCCTCCATATGTTATTGCATATAGTTCATTGATTGATGGTCTTTGTAAATTTGGTCTGTGGGAGAAGGTTAGGACTTTGTTCTTCGAAATGGTAAATCTTAATATTTATCCAGATGTCCGCACCTTCAACATACTGACAGATAAACTATGCAAAGAAGGAAAAGTTGAAGATACTGACGAGGTAATGAGACACATGAATGGAAAATGTGTGGAGCCTAATGTGGTCACCTACAATGTGATAATTGATGGATATTGCTTGCGCGGTCAAATGGATAGAGCAAGGAGCCTTTTTGATTCCATGATTGATAAGAGCATTAAGCCTGACATTATTAGCTATAGCACACTAATAAATGGATACCGTAAGAAAAAGAAATTGGATGAGGCCATGCATTTGTTTTATGAAATTTCTCGAAATGGACCGAAACCTAACATTGTTACCTACAATACTATCTTGCAAGGTCTATTTGAAGTTAGAAGAACTGACTTTGCGCAAAGATTCTTTGCTGATATGCTATCCACGGGGCCCGGACCTGATTTATGTACTAATCGCATTTTGCTCCGTGGTTATTTTCATAATGGACTTGTTGAGAAAGCTATGTTGCTATTTCATGAGTTGGAAAGAAAGAGAGAAGATAGTGATATTGAATTTTACACTGTTGTAATTGACGGATTGTGCAAAAATGGTCTGCTCGAGAAAGCTCATGCTATTTTCGAAAAGCTTTCTTTAATTGGATTGTTTCCCAATGTGATTACATACAATAAGATAATACATGGATTTTGTCTAGAAGGGTTGTTAGATGAAGCTAAAGATATGCTTAGAATAATGGAGCATAATGGTCATTCGCCTGACAACGCCACTTACAATATTATTGTGCGAGGATTTCTCAAGTTTGGCGAAACTAGTGAAATGACAACTTTTTTGAAGGAAATGACTGGAAGGGACTTCTCATTCGATGCAAGTACAATAGAGTTACTAATAGATGTTATGGCGAAGGATCCTTCTTTGCTTAACATGATACCACAGTTTCACTCGGGAAATAAGAAGTGATATGGATTTCATTTGATTTATTCAGCAATACTTATCACTATGATGCATTTTTCTCTTACCTATGGAAAAGAAATAACATCTAATGGAATTGCAGAAGATGAAAGAATGGAAATTAGAACATTGCTTGAGCTTTCCAAGCCAACTTATTGAGGAGGTACATCAGTTTTGATATTTGATTGTTGTGCCACTCTACTTTATTTTGAAAATCATA